GATATGTGTTATTTTTTCTGTCCCAATATATGTGAGCCTGATAGAATTCTGAGAGTCACCCTATTTTATTATATAGTTTTTAAATATTTTAAAGTTTTTTAAGTCATTTGTAAATGATATATGTTGCTTCCTTGATTGGAACTTTTCCATTTGTGAGATATATATATATACACATATTCTATATTATTTTAAAAGGGAGTTTATTCCCAAGTTCTACTATATAATAAATATAATATATAATATTCAAGAAAGTCCCAATCTTGAATATTATATATTATAGTTGGCCCTAAACTCTCTTTTATAATATAGTAGAAAAAATATGGTGGAGTAACATGTAATAAGTGGTGGACACACAATTTCACTTGGTGTAAATTTTTTTATCGAAAGGGTTTGAGTGAATATTCTTCTGCCTCCACGTACATACTTAGTTGAATTGAGATGTGCATAAATTAATTCGAACATCAAGATTATAAAAAATGTTGAATTTTCATAAGGCTAAAAAATGTTGAATTTCCGAAATAGTATGTAATTTGTCTTTAATATAACATTACATTAAATAATAAAGTTTGCCTATTACATTTTGTGCTTCATAGGCAACGTAAAAAATACATTCTATTTTTTTTTACTACATTTAAATTTAATTATTTTATTGTATATAAGCAACAATAACAGTAATATCATCAATTTTTCCTCCTTTATGTCGTCCCTCAGATGCTCTAGAAAATGGTGTATCTGCAAATCTATCAAATGAATTATACAAAGCAATATTCCCAATTTGACTAGCCAACTCCTCTGCCTTTAAATTCTGGTCTATCGCTCTTCGAACAATTTCCTCTATCTCACTTTCAAATATATTATCAAGCATCCCATCCGTCCCAACCATCAAAATATCATCTTTCTCTACGTTCAATTCCATCTCCTGAGCAACGCTAGGATTATCTGAATTGCACTTTCCCAATTGATACGGACATCCAAATCCTCGTTGTTGTATTGGTGACTTGTATATAATTTTTCCCTTTCTGATTAAAAAAAATCCACTATCGCCAACATTAGCAGCAACTATAGTATTTTTCACCGAGTTAAGAGTTATAATACAAGCCGTAGACGATCCTTTTGAATTTGTGTTTTTGTATGCTTCTTCAAGAACCCTTTTAGGGTTCACATGACCTTTCATTGATTCATCATATGTAGCGATAAATGAATTCTTCATAAGCTCTCTAGCGTATATTCCAGCGTCAATCCCCTGTTTCACCCAACCACCAACACCATCAGCAACACCAATAGTTTGGTATAATTCATGTATAAAGTGTGCATCTTCACCTAAAGGCTTATTTGGATTGTCTTTAGGTAAATATAAAGATCCAACAACCATTTTTAGGCATGGTAATTTGTTACTACTAAATTCGACGTTGATAAATTCATCATCATGACTAAATTTGAGTTTCTTGTTACTATGATTTTCCGGATTATTATTAATTTCATGAGAAGAGAAGTCGAAATATCTCTTGTAGCGTGGCAAGTTGAAAAGTTTATCGAATTTTATTTTGGAAGAACATTGATCATGACCTAATGATGAAATACATGCAGCCATTGTTGTGTTGATTGAAAAAACTTTGCGAAGTAAAAATTATATAATGGAAGTAGGGTTACAACTAATATATATATACATACGTTACGTTGCAATTCTATGTAGAATAGGTTATGGAAAAACAACTTTTTTGGTAACTTAATTTTAATATATGGAATATTTAGAAAATAGTGTGTGGTAATTAATCCTACATGGAAACAAAGCTTTTTGTAAATTATCTAAGCAACTAGAAGGTTCCTGCGTAATTAGGTAGTAAAAAGAAAGTGAGATTTTAATCCAAAACTTTTTTGGAAACTTTTCCAACTACAAATCTATAATGCAGGAGATATAATTATTGTGAATTATAAAACTTTTTACGTAATTTTTAAATAATATATATATATATATATATTACTTTCTTTATCTCAAAATTGTTGTTTGCTTTCTTAATTTCTTTTAATTTGGATACCTAATGATTTAGTAATAGCTTCTCATTTAAGAGCATCATAGAAAAAGATTTTTTTTTACCGATTTCCAAAGAACGGAACACCTATCCACTTAGACAAACCATTGAATTATTCTAAATTTGTTTGACCTAATTTACACATGATATCAAGAAAATACTTATATCTAAGAAAATTTGATATTTAATAAAATAAGTTTTTCCAAACAAAACTACTAATTTATGATTGTCTTCCCTTTGAGCTTTTAGAATATAAGCTTCTCTAAATTCTCTGATCTAAAAAAAAAGATTAAATAATCAATTAAAAAATTATACTAATAGAATATATAATATACAGTAGTAGAAAATTTAAATTAATTCCATTGATCTCTTAATACATATTTGCAAATAAGAACATTGTTTGTCTTCTCCAATTATTCACTCATTTGTTATATTGCCATAAAACTCTAGGCATAATGTATCCAATCATCGTCACTACATTTGTAAAACTTACCCACACCCCGGTGTTTACACCAATCCAATACATACATGCCATGTGTTTAAATTTGTAGTTCATTTTACTTAACCTTAATTAATTAACATGTGTTTTTCTTCATTAAATCACATAATAATGAAAATTGCATTAGTAGGTGCGGGTAAGTTTTTTCCATTAAATTTCAAATTAAAGTTTATGCTTCTATAATAATAATAATTGAGTTCACATGCAATATATATAAAAAAAAGGCATAATACAGTATTATATACCTTTTAACGTGGCAACTGACATCTATGCCATCCAACTTTGTGCGCGCACAAGTAAACACTTAAATTTGTATAAAACTGAACAAGTAAACACATGCATCTTCCGTGACATAATACACATAGGACACAATATTTCTATGTAAGATATCAGGTAGGACGAATGTATCTATTTGTTCAATTTTATACAAGTTTAAGTGTCTATTTGTGCACACCGAAAGTTCAAAGACATACAATGTCAGTTAAAGTCAAATTTATGTATTATGCCATAACAAAATACTGAATTTTTGTGAATCCGTGAAATTAATTGATGTATATGTCAGCTAACGACATGCGGAAAGTAGTCGATATCCGTAAAATTAATCGAGGTGCGTGTAAGCTGACCTGACAGGTAGCAGGAATTAATGAGTCGAAGTGAGCAAAACGTGGCTCCGTCACCAAACCTATAAAAAATAATCAGGACTTACATTTGAAGAATCCAAATAAAAGGAGTTTGATGTCATAATAATAATTGCATGGATATAAATTATATGTAGTATGATCCGCAGAAAAAGAAATTTAGAAACAAACATTCCAAGGGAGAAGTTGTATCATTTTTTCTCCATCATCATTTTTTTTTTCACACAAAAAATTTACATGTACATTGTATTGTATAATCATAATCTTAATTTTTCGTTCTTTCGTTCGATGAATTACCAAATCTGATGAAAGAATTTCGAAGATTGAAAAAAGGAAGAAAATTCTGCAGAAAGATCACAAGAGGAGGTGCGTTCATCAATTCTGTTTGATGATTTTCTCCATTTTAGTTGTTTTCTTCGTTCTATCAAGGAAAACTCAACATTTAGGATGTGTTCGATACGAATGAAAGATGTTTTCCTGATAAATATGTGATTTTCTTATGTATGGTACCTAAGCAAAATGTATATTTATTATCGTAAAAGTATTTGTATATATGGGAGGTGGGAATTAGGGGGTGAAATGAGGTGCGTTGGAGGATGGGAGGATACAATCAATGTAAAATGTCAGTTGTAGTTTCACTAGAAGAGTGATTTTCCTCCATCTAATACACCTTCTAGCTCGCGATCCGAGGCATCTAATAAGATATTTTTCAAATAAATATGTATGTTATGTGTAATGTTATGAGAGAGGTGTATGGATAAGTCGATAACATGTCACACTTTTTTCATACTTGTGTGCAGTTGCTTTTGCTTAGAAGTTTGAGCTGGAGTTGGGAGAAACTGTAAAAGGAAAGATTTTGCACAATGTCTATTTCTGTGAAAGATTTGGAACCTGCATTTCAGGGTGCAGGACAGAAACCGTATCCTTTGGTTCTGAGTATTCGATTAGTTTGATATTTCATCACTTCATCCTAATGAATGGAAGCTCAAAAGAGCATATATTAGTAACTGTGATCCTGTGTTACTGTGTTTTTGTTTTTGTTTCCGTTTCTACTGCAGTACTTGGCGGTGTAATTTCATAAAATGTTAGCTTAACTCTCTTTAGAGGAACTGAAATTTGGAGAATTGAGAATTTCCAACCAGTTCCTGTGCCAAAATCTGAACATGGTAAATTCTACTCGGGTGATTCATATATCGTCTTGCAGGTACGTATTAATTTAAAATGTTATTCTTCTATTTCTTGTTTATCTTGGGAGGAAATAAGTTCAAATGTTTTGACAACGATTCTGTTTTTATCTTATCGCAGACAACTTCTGGCAGAGGAGGAGCTTATTGGCATGATATACATTTCTGGCTTGGAAAGGATACTAGTCAGGTACGAATCGTTTCGTAGTCTTAACAGTAGCTCAACCATATTGTTCCTTTTTTTCATTTTCTAGAAGTTTGGATACTATGCTAGGATGAAGCAGGAACTGCAGCTATCAAAACAGTTGAGCTTGACGCGATTCTTGGAGGACGAGCAGTACAGCATAGGGAAATCCAAGGTCATGAATCGGACAAATTCTTGTCATACTTTAAACCATGCATCATACCATTAGAAGGAGGTGTTGCATCTGGATTCAAGAAACCGGAGGAGGAAGTATTTGAAACGAGGTTGTATGTCTGCAACGGTAAACGAGTTGTTAGGATGAAGCAGGTACAGAAGCAAAAGAAAAACCATTTGGAAATGTATGTAACTTCTGCAGCTGTGATTGAAGATAATATTGAGCTTAGATATTTGTCAGGTCCCTTTTGCTCGGTCATCGCTAAACCATGATGACGTGTTCCTTCTAGACACTGAAGACAAAATATATCAGTTTAATGGTGCAAACTCCAATATCCAGGAGAGGGCTAAAGCATTAGAAGTTACTCAGATACTGAAGGAGAAGTATCATGATGGCGTGTGTGACGTTGCAATTATTGGTAAGTCGAAGCCATTGAGTAAAATGCAAGATTGTGCAATTCATCTAATGCTTTGGACAGAATTGTTATGTAACTACTATGAGACGTGCGATATTTATTGAATTAATGCTTCCCCTAGAATTTTATAACTCTTTCTCTATTGCATACCTCAGATGATGGAAATTTACAAGCTGAGTCAGATTCTGGATCATTTTGGGTTCTGTTTGGTGGCTTTGCTCCAATTAGCAAAAAGGTTGCTACCGATGATGATATCGTTCCTGAGAGAACTACTGCTCAACTTTATAGGTAATGTTGAATCCTTTACCAAGTGTCAAGCAGTTTCTCGTGTTTATGATACTCTATATCAAAGTTTTCTTGATATCCTTGAGAGACCATGTAGTGCTGGACGTAACGTCTTTCAATGGATAGCCCTCGGGGTTGTTACTTGTAACTGAATTTTGTATGTCAACGTTTTGCTGTTGTTGGTGCTAAAGGTGAATTATGTCCTCTTTTGCAGCATTACTGATGGCCAGGTCAATTCTTTGGATGGTGAACTTACAAAATCCATCTTGGAAAATGACAAATGCTATATTTTGGATTGTGGTTCCGAGGTTTTCATGTGGGTAGGCCGTCATACTCAGCTCGAGGAGAGGAAAAGTACTATTCAAACAACAGAGGTAGAATGTTAGCTGTTCATCCATGTTCTTGTGTGGTATAGTTTCTCATTTCTGAATGACTCAATAATTTTCAGGAATATCTTGCCAATCAAAATAGACCTAAGTCAACACGTATAACCCGGATTATTCAAGGCTATGAGACACATTCATTTAAGTCCAATTTTGACTCTTGGCCATCAGGATCAACACCTGCCCCTGAGGACGGACGAGGGAAAGTAGCAGGTAGAGTTATTACGGGAGTGTGAAGATTTTGTGTGTTTCTGGTTTGAGTTAGTTTTAACTTTGTCCATGTTGAGTTCTTTCAGCTTTGGTGAAGCAACAAGGTGCTGCTGTCAAAGCTGCTAGCAAAAGTACTTCTGTCGATGAGGAAGTCCCACCTTTGCTTGAAGAAGGTGGAAAGATAGAGGTCTGAATCTGATCATCACAATGTTTTCTCTGTTGATTTGGCCTGCTCATTCTTCACTGAAAATGTAAAATTTGTCAGGTGTGGCGTATCGATGGCAGTGCAAAGACTCTGATACCCAAAGAAGACATTGGTAAATTCTACAGTGGAGATTGTTACATAGTTCTCTACACATACCATTCTCATGAAAGGAAAGAAGATTATTACTTGTGTTGGTGGATTGGAAAGGATAGCATCGAGGTACGGATGTCCTTGCATATAAGGGTCCAACGCGTCTTTATAGAATTTTCTTAATTGAATCATTGTTGTGGATTCAGGAGGATCGAGAAATGGCTGCACAATTGGCTAGCACAATGTGCAATTCACTTAAAGGGAGACCTGTGCTGGTATTACTTCTTTCTCTTACTGTTTTTCAGTCAAAAACTCAAAATGAAGCTTAATTGTGATATTTACGTTATCTAGGGTCGGGTATACCAAGGCAAAGAACCACCACAATTTGTTGCAATATTCCATCCCATGCTGGTCCTTAAGGTATCTCTCCATATATATATCATGATAGAGTCTATTGACGTCATTTTAACATATAGAATAACCATGACAAGTTTCTTTCCTTTTTTCAGGGTGGATTAAGCTCTGGCTATAAAAATCATATTGCAGAAAATGGCTTGAATGATGAAACATATGCTTCTGATACTGTTGGCCTTTTCAGGATATCTGGAACTTCTAGTCATAACAACAAAGCAGTTCAAGTCGATGTTGTATGTTCACTGACCCTTTAAGTTTTCCCCTCTTTGGGATATTAAGTTTTCTATGGCCGATAATCTGTTCTTTATTCTACACTATCTGTTCCAATTTAGTCATGCTGCAAAAGCTACGTTATGAGACCCTTCTTGTCGTCACTTGAACATGTTCTCAAACTATGTCTAGATAGATAGGTAGCCTCCGTTCTATGTTGATAGAGTCTCCATGTCTCAGAGAGTTGTTCTTATGGATTACGTAAACATCTGTCCAGGGATGTAATTTAGGATTCTTTTCAATATATTTTGAAGCTGTCTAAATGACAGTCTAATAGAAAATGAAAATGTCACACTTTTCATTGAAAATTTATGTTAACTTTGTACTTACTCCGTACTGTCACGCTAAAGTCTAAGTTGCTGTTGTCATTATGTCCAAAGCTACTATGAACTGTGTTGTAAACTTGACAAAATGAAACTTTACAACCTCGATTTCTAATTTTCACTCCCGGTTTCTGAACTCTGACAGGTGGCGACTTCACTGAACACTTACGAGTGTTTTCTTCTGCAATCTAGCTCTTCAGTATTCATTTGGCATGGAAAGCAAAGTACCCATGAGCAACAGCAGTTAGCAGCAAAGATTGTGGAATTCTTGAAGGTGAGCCTTTTATCGAAGTAGAAAAAAGGCGTTCTTTGTCATTGTTATCCAACTAACATACCCTGTGTTTGTCCTATTTTATGCTGCATTAGACTAATTTTGTTTGATGTGTTTTATTCACAAACTCAGCCCGGAGTGACAGTTAAACACACTAAGGAAGGAACAGAAAGCTCAGCTTTCTGGCTTGGTATTGGAGAAAAACAAGATTTTACCAGCAATAAATTAGCTCCTGAAGCCACCAGGGAACCTCACTTGTTTTCTTGTTCTGTTAATAGAGGTGCATCCTTCTCATCCTTCGATATTTTTTTCGAGTGAGGAAATTTTTTTCTGCTAACTGACTTTCTCAAATGATTTCATGCTAACTCATGGATATCCAGGAAAATTCGAGGTAATATAGTATAATTCGGTTACAACGTATAAATTTCTGGTTGTGTATATCAAACAGGTTAATATTTTCTATTCAAATAACAGGTTGAAGAAATCTACAACTTTTGTCAAGATGATTTGTTGACTGAGGACGTCATGGTTCTCGACACACATTCTGAAGTTTTCGTTTGGGTTGGTCAATCAACAGACTCCAAAGAAAAGCAAAGTGCTTTTGAAATTGGACAAGTAATACTAATTAGTGTCATATCACATATGTATCTCATCTCTTGAAAGTAGTTGTCCATTTTCATTTTTGCTCGAGTAATCGATGAAGTTGATCACAGAAATATGTAGAGCTGGCTGCATCTTTGGAAGGGTTATCCGCTGATGTTCCACTGTATAAAGTCACAGAAGGAAATGAACCATGCTTCTTTACAACATTTTTCTCATGGGATCCTGTAAAAGCTACTGTAAGTGACTAAAGCTCTCTCTCTCTCTCGTTGTCTCGTTTGAATTTGGTATGAAACTTGGAAGATAAGATGTAGAGTGACTACAAAAGCTGCATTTGTCAACCTCACGAGAGACATATTGAAACAATAATAAGTGAAACTCATTAGTCATTTCAGCAACTTTTTTACTCTGACTTACCTGTTTAATCAGGCACACGGAAACTCATTCCAAAAGAAGGTTATGATACTCTTTGGATTTGGTCATGCTTCCGAGGTAATTTATCTTGTTTTTCCATTACTATAATCTCATCTAAGTTACATGAATCACACAATGTGCAAGAATGATAGATTGTTTTCCATATCATATACTATTAGTTGTTTGACAGTTGCTTTTCGTATCATCAACCGAGTTTCATAGTACAAGACTTCATTAGTTATTCAAGAAGTTTAGACCTTCTACTCTATATTTCAGAATCATAGAACAAATCAAGATGGACCAACTCAAAGAGCCTCAGCATTAGCTGCATTAAACTCTGCATTTACTTCATCGTCTGCTGCGAAAGCTAGTTCTGTTCCAAAGCCTACAGGAGCAAGTCAGGGTTCACAAAGAGCAGCTGCAGTAGCTGCATTGTCTAATGTTCTTACAGAGGAAATGAAGCAGTCAAATTCGCGCGGATCTTCTCTCCAATCAAGTAGAAGTCCATCAGCTAGCCCCACTGGTACAATTTTTATATATTGATGAATATTTGTGAGTATAATTTTGTTCATTCTTCTCTCTGAATTCTCCTTGATTCAAGGGTTGTTAGTAGCGTATTTCTCAAATGTAGGATGATTTAGACCTCCTTGTGATTGATGTTAGGAATGTCAGGCGGTGGCTTTGACAAAAACGGCATTTGATGTCTTGATCTCATTATGAATATCCAGGAGTTTATGAGATTTTGATATGCCTCTTCAAGGAATACGTTACCTTTATATAGGCGTGATCTAGGGGTTTAGGATAGAGTAGCCTCCAAGAACCATAACCAAGATTTGGCTCGTCTTGTAGAGTCCTACAAAATCTAGATGTCTACAATGTGTCTGTGTCTGTGTCTGTGTCTCTCTTTGTATGATTGTAACATGTTAAAGATTACTTAAACTGACTATTATTGCAAACATTTGAAGTGAATCAACATAGTTTCAACTTGTTACATTACTATTTTGATGTTTTTTTCAGCTAGGGCAAAGCATGCTCGGTTTAAAGAATCCGAAGAACGTTCAGAACATCAGGAGAACGAGGTCGCTGAGCACGCAGCAGAGACTAATGAAGAGGACTCGGACCTGAAACCACCAGACGAGGTGTTCAGTTATGAGCAGCTCAAGGCTAAGTCGGAAAATCCTGCTACTGGCATTGATACTAAACGAAGAGAGGTTTGTAGCTCGAGTATCGTTCATTCTAATGAAAGCACATTCTTCTTTTCGTGATCATCTCGAATGATAAACATTTTTCAGGCTTATCTTTCGGACGAGGAATTTGAATCTGTACTAGGAATGACAAAAGAAGCATTTTACAAGGTCCCAAAATGGAAGCAAGACGTGCACAAAAAGAAGGTTGATCTCTTTTAGACTACACGAACGAGAAATCACTCTCTCTGTTTCCCAAAATCTTACATAACAACGTATGTTGTTGACGCAAAAAATTCGCGTGGATTGAGGTACATGATGCCTGGATTTATTAACGGAATATATTGCTTTCAGTTCAAACTATGTATACATATGAAAAAAGATATAGAATATATATACATATAATAAGATCAGACTCATTCTGAATGTGAATTCGCCTTCCAAGGTTGTAGCTAAAAGTGTCTAGACTAATTCTTTGATTCAAGTTAACTAAAGGGTGTATACATTCATTATATTTATTGCAACTAAGTTGATACTTGAAAGATTTTGCAAGTTAATTGAGTGTTTGGCCCTAATGTGCCAAACTAGTGGCATTTGCATAGCTAGAACTTTTCATTTCATCGTTTACGAGATGATTTATAATCATATAAATGTCTACTGCTTGATTTATAATACAAGTTCCAAAGATTCTGTTTTTCTTTCTTAAACTTTGTTCTCAGTCAAATATCGCTACGTAAATTGAAACAAAGGAGTAGTTGACTTGAAATCCAAAAAAATATCTTAGCATTTACACTAAAAGCTAATAGATGCATACGTAAACTTAACTACTACTTACTTATGATTGATTAATATGTATTTTCATCTATTTAGAGCGATTCACTATACTAATTTTATATTAAATATTACCTTCAAAACGCCTCATGTTTGGCAAATTTGAATATTTTATTGTAAAGAGATCTATAGATTGGCGTGCCGTGATCAGTGCTAAGATTTATCCGTCTATTATTAATGTTATTTATATACTGCTATTTATTAAAAATAAATAGTGGTCAACTATTTGTAATTTTTTTAAAACATAGACATTGATTGGCCTTAGCTTTGAAAGGTAGATATTACTCCGTCCGTCTCAATTTATATAACATTTTTTGAATTTCAAAATTTTAAAAAATCTATTTTTATTGTAATTTTTCATATATATTTTTAAATATCTTGAATTATAGATAAAGTATTAATACATATTAAGTGAATCATTTCTTGCATTTTTTATTTTACTGTTTAGAATGATTTGTCATGCATTCAATCGTATTTTTTTCTTGGCTTTTCATTTCTGTTATTTTTTTGTCATATTGCTTCAAACTCTTTTTCTTTGAGCTGAGATGCTCTATCAAAAACAATCTCTCTACCTTCAAGTTATAAGGATGAAATCTACGTATATTCTATTCTTTCTAGAATTTAATTTAATAGATTACACGAAATATATTATTGTGGACTATTCTTAAATGTTAAGCAACACTTGTATGCTTGGCTGGCTGGGGGAAAAAAGCTGGCAAAAGAAGTTGTATAGTTAATTATATATCATGAAATGAAGTGCAAAAGAATGAAATGATCACGTTACTGCTTTTATGGAGTTTGTCAAAAGGAGTTGAAACACGCGGTGGAAATTTGGTAAAAATCACATGATGGTTCCAATTAAATACTCTGTTCGTTTTAATTTATTTATCTGATTTTAATTGATACAAAATTTAAAAAGTAATATAACGTTTGAATTTCATAGTCTTAAATTAAAAATATATAAAATACATCAAAATATCATCTATTCTCATAATCTTAGATATATAAAACATTTTTTTAAATAAAATAAAAATAGTAAGACAAATAAATTATAACGATTTTTGTGTTATTTTCCCTTGGACCATTACACAGTTGTCACATGAGAAAAAATCGATGAAATAATACTCCTTTTGTTTGACTTTGCTACTGATGATTGCAAAATCATAAATTGACACAACCTTATTGGCTGTCACCTTTAAGAATGACACTGGCTCTATTAATGATTTTGTATCGAATTAAATCACATGCTTCATCATTTTCATAAACTCTTAATAACTTCTTTTAAATTTCATTTTTGTGATTGAGCTTTTTAAGTAGAAAAGTTAACACGTTAATTATAACACTGTATAGATTGATACATACAACCCCTAGTATGCATTAATTATGGCTATATTCATCAAAGAGATTCATCATTTACATTATATAAAGCTTATCACACATTGTCTTTGCTATTTACTTAATTTATGGTCATATCTATTCGAAGTTTTTCTCGATTTGATATCGCTCTCGTGGCTCAAATGTCTAATGCACCTCAACATCTGTTGATTCTTTCAAATCAATCTCCAACCTCGCTCCACTTAGTTTTACCCAAACATTATATATTTATTGATTTGACGAAGCAAATTCAAATAAACCCCTCCCCACCTCTAGATATACATAATTTTGCACAAATAATCCATATAACATTTACTATTACAATATTATTTACATGACAATCAATCACTATAAAAATGCCTAAACATAATCCTATAATTAACCTTTTTTGTAATTAATTTAACTACTAATCAACAATCACTATGAACATAAATACTTCTTAATAACATAATTAATATCAACATTACTATTTCCACGACTAATAATAAAAAAATTCGATATTAATAAAGAACCTGATTTTTTATCAAACTCACTGAGTGAACTCAGTTCTACAATTGACTCGTCCAAATTCAACTCAACATTCTTCGTCATAAACTCATTTCCAATGAGTTGATTGAACAGAACTGACTCGTTAATCGAGTTCTTCTTCTTGTGTTGCATCGATTCTTGAATGATTTTGATTAACATTGCATTCGATAATCTTCGAATTCCTCTTAATCCACCCATGATAATTTCTGGGCTTGCCTGTTTTTTATGAGTTTTTTCGAAGTTTTTTCTTCGAAAAACAAGAACTGAGTCATGACTCAGATTCTTGATTCGACTCGGTGAATCACCGAGTACGAAAATTTCTTTCACATTCACTAATATTATATGCTTGAAATTTCTTCTGATTCGACCAAATAACATTGGATAACAAGCCCATCTTCTTAAATTCATTGGAACATGATCCATAAACCCGGATAATGAATTTTCCGGGTCAAGTTCATCGGCGTAAAACCCGATAACTGACCCATAACTCAATTGAATTGACTCAGTACTGTTGTTGTCTTCTTCAATGAAATTGCTCTGTTTTTTGCGACCCCAGATGGGTTCTTCACTTGCATTCGCTTTATTATGGGTCGAGTTGAAAGTGGTAGAATTGTATTCGTAGCCATTGATGAGTTTGAAGAACGAGGTGTTTTCTTCAACAATGGTGTTTTCAAAAAGAACGGATTTTTTCGGGAAAACGAACAAAATGTCGGATTTTGAGCTGATTTTGGACCTGTAAATGAGTTTTGTGAACAATTTCAGTTCTTGAACGGTTACAGATTCAATTACATGAGCTACAATTAAATCACTCATGGATCTTGTTCCTTTTCTGAACAGAGTACCCATTCCTTGCAATGCATGTTGTTGAAATGATGGAGATTTTGAATTTTGAAGTTTGAATCTTGAAGATGGTTCAAAAGTTGAGATTGTAAAGAGGAGAAAAGTGATGAAGATGAGGAAAACACAAATTGAGATTATAAATTGTGCTCTAAACAGAGTGTTGATGGATTTTAATGGAGAAAGGTTTGTTTTTTGCTTGTTTTTGGTGATAATGGTGGATTCATCTTCTGGGAATAAAATGAAGAAGAACCCCATTGCTTTAAATCCCATACTTTTTCTCTTTCTTACACAGAGACACACAGTGGAGAGAGACTGGAGAGGTTATTTTTTTTGCTATATATATATGTGTTTCTCAGCACTCTGTTTTTGGCTTTTTAGCTGTGTAAGTGTATGGGGAAGATGAAGGATTATGAGAGTTCAGAGGAGTCTGTTATTATATTTTTTTTGTTTTCCGCTCGGAGTTTGGTATTCGTATAATTAAATTTAAATTTGCGTATTGCCTTTTTGAAAGAGGTGCTTTTAAATGGATCTTTCTTTCGATAGACTTTGTATTGTTTCCTTGTTATTTACAGTAATATATATTTTTCACTGTTTTCAAATTCTTCATTTGAGTCGAGGATTTTTTTGGAAACAATCTCTATTTCCATGAGAGAGTAATAAAGTCGATATACGTTCTACCATTTCTAGACTTTATTTGTGAAATTTTATTAAGTATGTTGTTGTTGTGGCGGTGGTGGTACTTTTAAAAGGATTTTTCATACAAAAATTCAAAGTCGAGAGAATGAATCGCAATCATAGAAAATATTCCAAACTCATCTGCAAATTATTAGTTTCATCTTCGAACTATTGACAACTTTAAAATTACTCATTTATTTTACTAATTGAACTTAAATACGCTCTCAAATTTGCAACATGAGTGAAATACACTTCTAAATTCTCATCAAGGTTAGGAGTGTTTTCAACACTTCTCTTGACTTTTTATTAAGAGTCTCATGCTCCCACAAGAGTTCGAGACCTCTTGCTTTATCATGTCGCATAGAAGTGGGAGAGTATCTAAATTTTAGTTAATTAAGTAAATAATATTTTTAAGGTTATTAATAATTTATGAACAAAACAAATAATTTACATTAAATTTAAAAACATTTTCAATACTTCTCTTTTATTATAATCAAAGATCACATTTTTAAGACCAAAATAAAAGACTTTTTAAAGCCTATAGATGTTGTTTTTCCATGATTAGCCAAAAGGGAAAAGAAAAAGGAAAAAAAAGTGGACTTTTGGGAAAAAGAAAAAGAAAAGGTAATATTGTCTTTAAATGAGCAATATTAAAGGTAAAAAGGAAACCTTATAATTCTAAGAAAAAGAAAAGGAAGAAAATGAACTAATATTGTCTTTAAATGAGCAAAATAGGGCAGCAAACATGAGAGCGGTGGGAGGGGGAGAGAATTTTAAATCATACAAACTATGGGTATTAATGTGTAAGATTTTAAAAGTAGTGGGAACAAAGATGAACCTTTAAATAGTTATTGGCTATTGCTATTAAATAAACATGTATATATAGATAGTCAGATTAGATTAAGAATTTAAATTTTATGAGTTTATTTTTTAAGATTCTTACTTCTTAATATTGAGCACATTATAAATTTAAAGTTATGAGTTCATGTATATTATTTATTACAATTTTACTAAATTATTACATATTAATTTTATACTCTAGGTCGAAAGTTATGGATTCAATTGAACTCATTCTTAGAATGACACATTCGTTGTAGTGCATATATAGCTCAAGTTCAATAAAAAAAAGGTGAATCAGACAAAAATGGCTAAACTTAATATATATGACTGAAGTTCAAACAAAATTAATTAAAATAAAGTAAAAATATATTTATATAATCACTAAATAATATGTTGATCGACACACTTCTACAACATGTTATCAGGTTTGAGAAGGGATAGAGTTACTCTTGCTTCATAAAAATAGAAAAAATATTTTCAAAAAATCCTCGAAATAAACTTTAAAAGTAAAATAATTTTCCTTTTGATAGTTATAGAGACCATTAAATAGAATGTTTTGCATATATACCTTCATGTTCCAGCAGCCTTCAAATTTCTTGGCATGATTTATATATAATTATTTAAACTTCTATCTCTTTAATTTAAAAAACTTTATTTGATGAGAAAATTATTTGAACATAATTACTAATTAGTACTCCTATCTAGAAGCTCACTTCAATTATATATTAGTATTATTACTTAAAACTAAAGTAACCATATCCATCATCTATGACATACTTCAAACTTGGTCAGTTTCTTGTCACCTTCCTTTTTTCTTTTGCATATTACTTTTTCTATCGAAGTAATCGAACCATAATTGTCCACTACTGACTTAATATACAGATTAAAAAATAATAAATGATAGGAGTAATTTTATTAAATTATCCTTACTAAATATAAGTCATTTAAACATTGAGAAATGACTAGTATTTAATAGTAATAAGGATAAAATAGACATAAAATGATAAATTATTCATTGATTTTATAAATTAGACAAGAATTGTTTGACATTCTTATTGATAATGTTTTACATTTTACATTATCGATATATATAATTAAGTTAACTATATATTATCAAATTACAAGAGATTGTGACTCTTTATAAGTCTTGAAAAGATGAAAGACTTGCAATTAAAATACATATAATTCATTTTCCAATCTGACGATGATGTTCGAATTAACTTGTGGACCTTATCGAACAACTCTATTCAATAATATATATCTCTTTTTTCCTATTTTATTTGCATAGTTTGAGAGAGGAAAACACTAGCAATTTCATTTAACTCAACTTTTTTTCTCTTCCTTTCCATTTCTTCTTCAACTTCTAGCCTCACTCCAAACAACATTGGCCTTTTACCTTTTTGCCCTTCTTTTTTTTCTTCTTCATTTGAATTCTTTAACAAAATGGCCACTAGATCAATAAGTTCTTTGCATTTCTTATTTACTAGTGAAAGCTCATAGCTTAGTTCTCCATTTTCCATTTTAAGCCTTTTATTCTCATCAACAAGGCTATTGTACTCAAATGATGATGAAGAATTAGAAGTTGAAGATGATGACTTTTGATCTTCATCTTCACTTTCTTTCTTGTTGTTTTTGTTTGGAGGTTGTTGCTTGTTTGTCCATGCTTTTTTTCGACGAATATCACATAGTAAATCCTTCTCTCCCTTGCGAAACAAGTCGTTGCTGAACTCCCACTGACTTGTTGTAACTTTACGAAAACCCTAGTCACACATGAAATAATTTAGGATTGAATTAATCAATGGATCACAAGAACTATACTCAACAAAATTAAAGATATGGTTCTAGGCTAAGAAATGTTGTATCATATTGTATGTTATTAGTCTCAAACTTGATTTACTATAATATTTTTTTATTACTACTGACGATGTATATAACAGAAATGCTATCAAGATATATACATATCCCTAATTGCTATTGTATTCATTGAGATTTGTTCACTTTATATACCATTCCGTAGTAAATTTACGATCCTAGCTTAATCATAAATTCAAATGCATGTCTTTTTAGAGACTTCAATTATATGGATGATGATTATATTGTAGTTAATTTCATCCTTACATACTATGGTTTTCTAAATCAATAGAATAACAATAGCAACATCAATAATTCACTATGCATGAAAGACAACAAAGTATATAAGTCTGCTAACTAATCATTTTTTTAAAAAGATCCATTAACATGTAGTCTAAAAGATATTTACGTGTAACACCTTCTTAATCTTGAAAATAAAATAAGTTATCTGCTAAATATACGCATTAATATTTTATTGTTAGATGTGGAGAGCACTATTTGTTTTCATTCTCTTTACCAAGCAAATAAATAAGATAATAATCTTGATCTGATCGTATAAAATATTGACACGTTATTTATTTTCATTCTCTTTACCAAGCAAATAAATAAGATAATAATCTTGATCTGATCGTATAAAATATTGACACGTTATTTATTTTCATTCTCTTTACCAAGCAAATAAATAAGATAATAATCTTGATCTGATCGTATAAAATATTGACACGTTATTTATTTTCATTCTCTTTACCAAGCAAATAAATAAGATAATAATCTTATAAGTGATCTGATCGTATAAAATATCGACACGTTAACTTTTTTTAGGGTGGGAGGGAGATAGTAAACATACATAGGTATTAAGTTGCCGGACAAAGCTAGAAAAGTTGCTATGTTTGAAAAGCGTTGGAAGCAAATCTCTAGCAAACTCCGCCGGTTGCCGGACTATAAACGCCGATCCATCGGAATTCCAAGAAATGACGTCGTCCGTCGCCGGATCCTCCACCAACATGTATGTTTTTAGCAAGAATGGTGATGTTGATGCCTTCCTTACATACTCTAACAAATTCCTTTCACATTCATCCTCTAATTCCCCCATTCAAAAGACTACGTTCAACTTAGACGAGAAGGGTCTGCTCAGATGATAAGTACATAAATTATAAGTTCGAGTTACTAAAAAGCAAAAAGAAAAGGTGTTTTAATAAAATGAAAGAAAATGAATGATATTAATTATGATGAAGTGGAGAAGAGTAGAAGGGCGGTTAAGTAGCCCCAATCCCAACAATAAAAACCTAAAACAAATCCAAAATTCATGAGAAATACAAAAGGGAATAATATCTTGGGTACATGAGAGTTATAAAAGAAGAAAGCAAATAATATTTTCTTGAAACTTATGCTTATTATATAGTTGTAGGAGGAGGACAACTATAGCAAGAAAACTTGTTTTCATACGCTATAGTATTTATGACGATGTTTGACTGGATATTAAATTGGATAAAGAAATGAAGACTGCAAAAATTTATGATTTTTGAATATGTGTTAAGTTGATTGTCTTTAGAATTTATGATCTTAAATATATATCATGATAAATTCATAATTTTTCAAGATCTTGATTTTGTGTAAAAATAAAGAAATGTCGTTATTTTCCCACATAATTATTTCAAATTGGGAGTATATAATAATGCGTCTTTTTGTTTTATAACATATAATAATGTGTTGCACATAATGATGTGCATCTTCTAGACGGTCTATTGAGTAATTAGTATTAGTCCACTTCTAGAGAATGTTTTATTTCCTATTATTTTGTTATTTTTTGTAGAATTTGGTGACCATATTCTAGAAAAAATAAAAAATTAAATTAGTGTTTCACTTATTAATAAAAATCTTTTTAACGTGAAGACTAAGACTACAAATTCAACATCACCATGGTAAAACTAGTATTTATTTGTGTTGTGACAAGATTTGATCAACTCAAACCCAATCATATCAACTTGAGTGGTAAGTATTCATTCATCCTTAGTTATAGGTTTCAGATTCAAGTCCTCCTGGTACAGAGTCACCTTTATAAGGAAGTGATTTATCCTCAATATGAAACTTTCCGACGTGAATCTGAATTTAATCAGAATCCAATATGAATATCGAACACCGAATGAAAACCAAAAATAAAAACTCAAAACTCAATGATAAATCATGTGAAAGAGCAATTTAGAAACTTGGTAATATATTAGTACACTTTTCTTCTCTCTTTTAAATCTTATTTTAATTTCTAGATAAATGACTGAGAATTTAATTAAGATCTTCTAGATGAGCATCCATTCAGATAAATCTAAATAATTAGCGTGGACTAATTAAATAAATATTATTAAATTTGTTTCAGTTTATAGTTTATGTGACATTGATTTCGTATTAATTTATTTTATTAAGAATGAAACAGTATATATATTAATATAACGTTGACTAAAAGTTTTATAACTACACAAATAATATTGACATATTTAAAATTATAGTTTTTAAAAATCATTATAGTCAAATATTAATTACATGTTTAAAATTATTTTGATTTTTTTACAAAAAATTATACTATGTAACATAAGTTTTAAATGATTGAGTAATAATCTAGTAGCGTGTAGGGCTTTTGTGAACATTTTTTTCCCAAACAAAGAAGAAAATGAATTTCAAATGTATTGACTCTCAAAATTCTAATCGTGCAACAGAAATTAGGACGAAATGAGTATTATTATAGACGATAGTTTTACAAGATTGACCAATCTACGCAAACAAACAAAAATAAAATAAAATAATTAAATTGACACTTTAACGTCCATGTAGATTGATGAGTGAATTGATTTATATTTTGTCTGCTTTTAACAACTTGTTTGCTGTTATATAACATGAAAAAATAGAGAGATAAAAGAAATTAAACTATTGCGTATCAGAAAATACTTCTTTTGCTTCAAAAATCTTTTGGGACTTGTTATTAACTTGTTTGAGATTGAGACATTATTTTTACAAAAAAAATTTGGAGGCATTAGTGAGAATTTTGTATTACCACTTGATACAAATTTTCCTTTATTTGTTCTTAGCCTAATTTAGGAAAAACTTGAAGTGTAATATGCAAAAGAACCAATTGTTTTTTGTACTACTATTAATACATTGGATAATTAAGGGGGGGGGGGGGGGCCAAAAA